TAAATCAATGCATATTTGACCTAGAAAAGTTACCCAGTACAGTGAGTGACAAACGGCGTCGTGTAGGGTTGCGTTTAGCTAAATCTTGTGTTAAATTTCCAACGTGGTAGTATGAAGACTTGGGAAAGACGTGATTTGGATATTAAGACATTGTAAACACATTAAGCAAATCAATCACGAATGTATCAAAAGGCATAGTATTTAAACTTCGATGAATGTACTTAATCCTGATTGGTCGGTAATCTTTCAAAGTCCAGTCCCTAAAGATATTCTTTTTGAGGTGTACAAAGGCCGATTATAATAAAAACATTTTCTCGTATAATATTGGAAAAGCCGATTACACAAATGGAGTTGTGTTAAACGCGATTGGCTGACGTGGAGGCCAATCACGTTGAGGAATAAATGTTCTTTTGAGGCGATGATTCACCAGTAAAAGAGGGATAATTCACTGCCTCATCGCAATTGCACCGAGATTTTAAGAATAAGTTTTTGAAATTGTGTGGCTACGCACTCAACGCAAGAAAAATTTCATGGTTGACATACAATTTTAGGCCTTGTTACAAATAGAATAGACTCGTGATGCGAAGAACAGGTTTAGTCAATAAGACACGAGATCAAGTCGAGTAAATTCAGGAAAGCCTTAAGGTTAAACGACAGTGCAAGGAATCGAACTAGATATTCAAACTACAATAGTTCCACAAAGGGGTATTTGATGCATTGAGAGGAACTGGTAGATCGATTTTGGAATAAGTCACCACATACCTTTGGTGCAAGGACTGAGTGAGGACTCGATAAGAGGAACTTGGAAGTTGACAAGACTCAAGAGGCACTCCGGTAGTGAGAATTTTCTCCCCGCTAGAGAAGACTGTACACTGCGAGGAGTTGGAGAAGCTGGGGGTTGTGGAACGCGATGCGGATGAGCCAGCCGAACCCTCATCATCATCATCATCTTCTTCTTCGACGACGTCGTTGACGTCACCGCCCTCTTCCAAGCTGTCTTTGTTAAGGCGAGAGTCGGATCGAGAGTGCTTCACAGTCGAGCGCGAGTACAGGTTGTGGTAGCTGTTGCTAGCTTGAAGATGCGGTCGGCGATGGAAGGTGTCGCTAACTGGGTCGTCACCGGGGTTATCAATTTCAAGACTGCGTCCTCGCAGTTTCAAATTACGTCGACGTCTAGACACCTGTCCGCGCACTGGAGCTCTGCGCTCCATGAGCAATCTAATGGAAGAAACCAATTGGAGATAATCTGATCTGGTTCCTTTGTTTTACCCCTCAGGCTACCTTACTACGCGCTACATTTGAATATTTTCACCAAAAAAGTGGACCTAGACTGTTACACAACGAAAATTTATTTTATTTTTGATAATTATCAAAAAAGTAAATAGTTTCGATGAACAAGTATCGATTGCAGCAGTATATAAATGAAAAGAAAAAGTTTTTCATATAAAATTGTAATCTGTTGGGTACTTTTTAGAATGACAAGCTTTAATGAAAACCAATTAATGAGGAATAAGGCGAGAAGGCGACAAAAACTACGAGTGATAATGTTACATTGCAAATTGTTTATCAAAAATCTTTGTAAAATTGAGATATTGATTTTCGATTTTGCACTTTTTTAAAGTACTAGAATACCTCTTGTTTATCCATGAGGCACCGCTACAAACAAGCCTTTTTTTCTTAATGTGATTGGACCTCACGTCAACCAATCCCGTCTGAAACAACTCCATATTTGGGATCAGCCTTTCCAATATACTAAATGTTACTTCGATTCTAGTTTGATTCATTCCTTTTTTACACTTTCCTTGTTGGAGCATCCAATGTCTGGATACTTCCACGTGGGAAATTCAACCCGAGATTCAGCTAAACGCAACCCTACACGACGCCGTTTGTCACTCACTGTACTGGGTAACTTTTCTAGGTCAAATATGCATTGATTTAAACAAACCGGACTGAACACTTGACTGTGACACCTACAGTTTGTTTTAATTGACGTGAATGGACATGCTGCTGTAGTCTGATCACACCCTTACTCGTGTCTACTTCTCTCGCCGTTGTGAACGAAGCTACCGGCCAACGATGCATCTCGTAATTACTTCCGGTTCGAGATTGAGGTGTGAAGTGTGCACGTGATGAGTCACAAGCAAACAGGCAGTCAACAAGTGAAAGAATTAACGAAAGTTCAGTTCCAGTGTGCTTGATTTATAGCGAATGTGGAGTCGCGATGAAGTGTAGTGTAGCACACGCACGTCAGTTAAGGGCTTTGTGTGTTTTGTTTAGAGAACCCACTTTAGCTGCAGCAAGTTGTTGAGTAGGCATCGATTTTTCTGGAGTGGCTCAAAATATCCTTGCCTTGACACGTGACCTCTTTCATGCCGATTGGAGAAATTTGCCGTAGTTGATGCATTATGTTGACCATGATCGCCTGGTTGTTGTAATGAGTCGTGCTGATTCAAGTCGATCAACCCAGACGCCACGTTCCCCTCCACATTGACCTCCCTTTCACGACGTCGCTATCGATTATTCGAGAGCGTCTGCTCGCACACCCCTGTGCGTGTACCGCCTCCCCCACGTTACCCGTCTCATTCGCCTGACCATCTAGACAGTTTTTCTTGCTCAGCTTCACTCAGACATCATAGGCCAACAACTCCATCATTCAAACACGAATGCTGTGTGCGAAATTCGCATCTGCGTTGATCTGCCTGGCAACGGATGTCGTCGTGTCTTCTCTGGTACCTCTATTGTGCAAAAGGGGCAATTTTAACACCTACGACCCCAAGGCTGTTTGAGTCCAAATGCCGAAGACTACAACAATTGGTGACCCCTGACGCGATCTCTACGACAATTTATTGATTTTATTAAGAGATGGGATATATGCTTTTAATTGAGAATTGTGCTCCGTTTTGCAATCGATCACTTGGTTGTGCGTATTGTGAACGGTCGAATGCTGAATGCGATATGCTTAAACATACTACTTTTGTGTCACTACTTTTTAACTTGATGTGATGTAACATAAAATGCTTACCGGAATGGTGGAGCGTTTCTTTGTTCTCAACTAGCCGCATATTTATTTAAGAAGTTATGGTAGCTTAAGAAGGACACAATATTTTCAGGCATCGAAAATGTTGGAATAAGCACGTGACTTTGACTTTCCCGAATGTGAACGTGGTCAGTTTGTTTGATCTTATGTTGCTGTGACAACCGATTTTTACTCAGCCGCCATATTTGCGGTCGTTATTATCCACCTGCACTTTTGAGTTAAATGATCGAAATTTCCACTTCCATTGACAAATAACGCGTTTAAAAAAAAAATTTCTGAATTCAAAAAGTTGCACGATAGAGTAATAAATTTTGATAAAAAAACGGCGTATTTGCGAAGGCGCCGTAAATAAATACGATTCAACAGGCAACCGTGATATATTTCATGCTAACGATCCCGCTTGTAGGGCAATCGACTTTCGTGCCTTTCATTACACAGGTTTCTCTCAAGTCAAGTACAATTTTTGTTAATGGAGGAAGCAGCTGCTAGATTTTTAGCATTTTTTCCCCAATTTAAGCTTGCACGCACACACACAAAAACACACCCACTTAATATTTGGTATCGTTTTGAAAAGAATTCACTTGATGGGTATAGTGCGGTCTTCAGGACTGTACGAATGTACAAAGATAGATGGATGTTCCAAAACTATTTCCAAATGCGAAAAATGTCGGCGTTTCTAAATTTAGCGTCCTCTGAGGTTTGAAAGAAGCCATAGTGCTAAATTTCTTTTATAACTCATTTGAGTAGCTGTGGAATACTTGTTGCAAATCGACTAGTTGAATTAGTTAGAATTCGCAGGAGAAACCCTAATGCTTGAGTGGCTAGGAGGAAAGAAGACGCTAAATTAAATTACACTTGTAGACGATCGAATCAATTTTTTAAACCCCTTTCTTTTTCTGAATTCAATTTGGTCAAATGAGGAACCTTTAAGCAATTCACCAATAAAACAAGGCGCCAAGTACATTAACAGCCTGTTAAAACAACGAGAAGGTTGCAAAGCGTCGTCTTTCTAATGTGGCCGCTAAAACGTGGGCGATTCTAGCTTCTGGATAAATTGTCAAATTTTCACTACGAGCACTAATTAACGACAAATGAACAGACGGCAAATTTACTTATCAGTGTCCGGTATTTAGCCTAAATATTGTTGCCGTACACAAGGTCGGACACTTAAAATGTAAAAAAAGAAGATTGCCAAAACAGCTGGCTTATAGGGTAACCTATGTACCAACGCATAGTCACAAGATTCAACGGAGCCAGCTTCTGTTAATTTCCAAGCAAATGTCGGCGATTTTCCTAAAACGGCTTCAATTTACAGGCAAGGATTGCGTTTGGTAATCAAATAGATGATGTCGTAAATGCAGTTTTATGAAAGCCTTCTTTTGCTGGTCCATTTTGACTTAATTTGGCCTGGTGTGTTTTGGTGAAGGGACATCCTATTGAACGAGATTGTAACTCGCAGGAAAAAAATTTACCGTTTTTGATTTAGCACCTCGTTTGCGACGGCTTCACGACAACCAGGGCAGGCAATTTCGTCAAGATTGAGCGTGGAAGACGTCCTTCGCAATCGGGTGTTGTCATTCGCCTCCTCCTCATCCTCCTCCACTTCGACATTCCCCACCTCCGCCTCAAACTCCTCTTCTTCCTCCTCCGCCTCCTCCAGGTTCTCTCTGCGATGCTGCGGGTGCCACGAATCGCCAGTTCTTCGACGTCGACTGTGCTGTTGATGACTCCTATGATGGTGACGTCGATGGTGATGATGATGCCGTGGAGTCGCCTCGTCCTTGGACAAGTACGCGTCCACGGTCTGTCGTGGAACGTCCGGAAGGTCACCTGTTGACCGACCTGCGGCTTGACCCTTCCGGTGTGTTGTTTGTTGGAAATTGGCCGCGTAGTCATCGAAGTAGTTGTTAGTCGGATCTCGGCTACCTACATAAATATACGGGATTCGTCAAATACCGCAATCGACGCTTCCCTGAAATGCTATTGCTAGAATGTGTAAAGTGTCATGGCTGCCCTCGCGAAAGTTCATAACTTTCAGAAATATTGCCCTTTGATTCTTATGTGTGTTTGATTAGTGGTGTTACTAAATCAAAACAATCACGCTGCCCAATCAACACCCTGTGTTTTTGGTGCAAGCGCCACGTTACTGAAATTACCGGCAATTGGTGTTCGCCTTACGCAGAACGGTATTTTCCATGTTCAGTGGGCAGTTGGTGCTTAATTTTACCAAGGAATTTTGGAAATAATTAGTAATTTACAAAGGCGCAAGTTTGTAGCAGGACAATTAAATCACACATTGTTGGTATGACAATACATCGGAGCTACAAAGTGAAATATAAGGAAGATCTGATGTCCACCGGTTCGCAACCTACAGGGATTGATGTTGTACGCCAGTGGGGCTGGAAACTGCCTCGAATGGGTCAATTTCGATGCTGAATTCTGCTTCCTGAGTTGCCCTGCGCTTGCTGATGGCGGTCGAGGCGACGGTTTCCCCCGATCCTCCTCTAGAGATCGATTGAAATCCGTCGCTGAAGAAGACGACTGCGCAGGAAACAGCACATAAACCGAATTAGACAGCCAAAAACCACAGCTTTATTTTGCATTTGTGGTATAAATTGACGCAAAAATGCACCAGCATTTTAAGTCTTCTGCCTTATCTCATATCAAGAGCCAGAATTTATGCATTTTGCTTCGTGCTCTTAAAACCTGCCTTGAAAGGAGACGATAAGCAGTTAACTGGTGGCATTTGGGTACTCCAGACGGAGCAACTCACAATTTTATGCTCCTTCCATTTAACTTGCATCAGGCGAGTCAAAAAGGGGCTTTAACAGACCTCGATTCAAATTAAAAATGGTTGGTTTGCCAATTGAAACGCCTTTATACTTTAAATTCCCACTCAAGGTCATGCCCAAGGTCAAATAATGGCACACAGCCAATGAATGTAAGGACTTCATATTAGTGCAAATACCCACGCTTTTAGAGTGTTCAGGTGACAACGAACTCTAACGGATCAATCAAGTTTGCACAAAATGTGACTATGTTAAGTTAACCGATGTTTTTTAGTGGGGGAAGATCTTAAAATTGAAGTTGTTTTGGTGATAATTCGACCAATCGATTTCAACCAATTTAAACAAAACCAGAGCATGGCGCGAATCCGGTTGTGCGTGTACTATGGGCTTTTATGTTTCTTTTTTAAAAGCCGATAAAGTAGTAGAAATTTAAGAAACGTACTGTTCCCCAGGAGTACTGTTTGATCATTGGATCACTGCTACCATGACCCGGGATCTGGAGAAGATCTGATCGACTTGTCTTCCGCGCAATGTACAAAGTCACGTGCTCCAATGGTTGCTGTAGTCGTGCCCTCACACTGGATAGCGTCAGGCCACTCCCACCGGCTAACTTGGGGGCCGTAGCGTTGACCTCGTTTACCGCGAGAATCCTGTCACCGGGCCGAAGGAGGCCAGACAGGGCACCCGGCTTGCCGGGGGTGAGCGAATCGATGAAGACGGGGGCGTCGACTACGTCATCGGTCCCCGATATGACAATGCCCCATGGAAAGGAAGGGTGGGCACGAGTCAGACGTACTTTGTGCACCTCGAAGAAGGTGTCTGAAAGCCAAAATCGAACTAACCAATCAGATTACAGATTCCACTACCTACGTGTGATTATTTCCAACTGTAGCGAAGTGGTTTAAGCCCAAGCAATAAGACGTGTTTAAGTCAAAATCATTTCCTTAAACAATCAGGTACAATAGTAAAGCAAAGAAATAGGCTGATCTGCATTCTCGGAGCAAATTAGAAACCTAGGTTTTGCAGCTAAAGCATGAAATTTGTTTTAGAATGTGATCATGGATGCCGGCTTTTAAAACGTTTAGGCGTGTGCGAAAATCTGGTTTTTGAGAAATTACGCTGATTAAAACAAAGGATGCCGCATAATTCGAAATCAACTGGTCAAAAACTAGAAAACCCTAAAAAATTAGCACGAGAATTTCTCAAATTTTAATCATAAAACTGATATCAGTTTGTGCTATGTGGACAATTCGCATATTCTGCGGGGACCAGACAGCAAATTAGACCTAGGTACCATGTTTAAATAATGACTTTAAAGCTGGGGTTTGTTTTAATTAAGACTTTGTGAAATCTACTTTCTGAAGCAAATTTTAGGCCATTAAAATTCACACGGAACCACTTTTGTGAGCTCGAGTTAAAGCGTATTTTGTTTATTCATTCCATGGATTTGAAGCAGCAAGCCAGCTGCTCCCAGTCCTTCACACTTCACACAAATTTCGGTGGTTCGACTGCAAAAAATCCCTCAACCTTGATCAGTTGGATTTACTGAACCAGTCTGTAAAGTGCATAATAAGCCAGCTGGTGATCTGTTTTTGTGATCCATCCTGTAACAAACAGACCTGGATCAAACCAAGTTGTTGAACACTTTGCGAGATTTTAGCTGACAATGATTGCGATCCCACAACGAGATCAGAATTAACTGATCTCCCATTGTTTTCGTTACCTTTTTTAAGAAAAACCACTTTGTAATCGTCTGTTCAACGAGTTTGACAACTGACAATGTGCATTAAAGCAGCACCACCTGTCTTGCCTTGACATTGTTCAACAATCTATAACACTAAAAATGGCATCCGCTAAAATAAGCGCATTTTGTGTTGAAACGTTAAGTCAACATGAAAATGTATTTCTCATGCTTATGGGTGCCAAAATCACATTGTGAATGCGTCTTGACTAAGCTGAATTTTGTGATACAGTAAATGTGAAATTGAAATAATTTCATGACATTGGCCTCCCTACTTCCAAAATTGTCTAAACACACTGTTCTAAAAAGTGGAGAATTGAAGTTAATCGCCGAGTAGATCATGCAGATTTGCCTCAGGTAGATCTGAAATTATGGAAGGTTTTGCTTAGCGCATGACGAACAATTCAGAAAAAAATCAGTCTTCCTATTCAATGAGTGATATTCCTCTTCAAAGGCATCTTTTTACATCAAAAACATTGAACCTGACATTTAAAAACCCGCCATTTTGTCCAAAGGTTTGTTTAAACACATTCCGACATTGGGCACACCCAGGCGCTTTTTCCATGTCCTGGACGATATTTTTGTCAAAGCGATTCTCCGATTTGGCAGTAAATTTAAAGTTTAGACATTTCGTTGCTACGTGGCGTGAACCATCGACAAAATGCCAACTGGGTTATTTTGTGCGTCCAAGATGTTCGCCTCTAGAGACACGGGTAGGCAAAGGCAATGATTGATAGTAAAATGATTGATGGTGATATTTCCGACACTCCACACCTTGCCGCATATGCGTTCGTGGGCTAGATGACAAAACAAGGGCCAGAACTGCCCAATAAAGAGAAAGCAGTGTTCCGCCACATTAACGTTTCGCCTCAAGTTGCCGTGGTGACTTCAAAAAAATAAGGAACTGGGTTCGAACCGCATAAATTAGTGATCTATAGAACAGCTACTGATCGTTAATGTCCCATTTGTGATCGTGTGTCCGTTACAGCAGTTTGTTCTATAAAGTCAACTCTGTACTTTTAGACTCGGCTTGCATGTTGGTTACATGCAAAATCGCCTTGTCCTGTTAGACGGCATTTCTCACAAACAGATCTTAGTAAAATATTCCTCTGCGGTTATTTGGCAGTATCACGCAATCGCGCTAATAAGACACGAAATTTTTCAAACAGACCTTGAAAGACGAAGAATCCATTGGCCTGTTTTTAGAGTTAAAATTATTTCAAAAAATCGCACTTAATCAAGTTGGTGGCTTTTTCTCAGTTCAATCTTAAAGTTGATTGGTATCGCGGTACAACTACCGCATCAAAATAAATGGCTTAACCAACAAAATACAATTAATTATCTCGGCGTGCTTTGATCCTTGCAGAAAAAAAACACTTGCCATGAGGTTTTCATATCGGGATTGTTCGCCTTTCTCTTCGTAATATACCACATGATTGCCATAATTTGCGTCGCAGCTTCGTACTTCACAGACCGCAATTGTGAATAAAACCGTAATTTGATGTTTCACCGAGTAATTTTCTACACCTCTAGTTCTGATTCTTTGCATTTAAAGCAAAAAGTCAGTATGTATTTAGACGTTAGGGAATTCCAAACTTATCATAGAATTCCTGTAAATCGTAGTTTCAATCATTCAAGTTACGAGTATAATATATCAAATGTTTTCGTTTGAAATAAACTGAAAGGCATTCTGTATTTAAATAAAACATGGGAACTCGTTCGAAATGCGGCAACACCACATAAAAGGGCTGAGTTACCTCTACAAATACCTTTTATTGACCAGCTGAAACCCCCAGAGTCCCTCAAATACCATTGGTTACTGAGGTGCTGATGTTTTAATTTGATTGGACACAGCTGTTTTCGCCCTATTCTAAGTTATCACTATTCGAAAAATCACTACAGCGTACCAAATCGCGCGTTTCATTGATTGGCTGGCTTAACACTCATCTTGCACAAAAAAAACTTCTTTATATGACCGTTGAAATATTTTAAAAATCCAGCGAAACACTTCTGACACGAAGGTGGACCCTTATTGGTTCCCCTTTTGCCAATCCAATAATCAATATAGTCGAGATAAATGTAAGCTGGATTTGCCTTTATTTTATTTAACATAGACCAGCAAAAGACACTTTTTGACTTCGTTCTTTCACTGAAGCAGCACGTGATTGTGATCTGCTGCGGCCTGCTTCATTTGCCTCAGCTTCAGTGAATATTTTGATCAAATCTAAACTTAACACAGAATCGCGTCAAAATGACCCCTCGGAGGCAATTTTTGCATCTCGACAAGTTTGACATTAAATAAGCAAATTTCATGAAAAATCTAATTTATCAGTATTCTTATAACCGTGGCTGTCTTTGGTATGTATATATTTGTATCTTTAAATGTTTCATTTTGCTGGTCAGGGCTGCGAACACTTGAGTCGAGGTTGTGTGCTTGGAATACCTAACATTACGATTTTATTCAGCATTTGGATTTAATTCAAATGTTACGTTTGTAAAGCATTGCGATGCGAATTAAGGAGAAAATTGGACTTGTTCCAGCATTTGACAATATTGATTTATCCGCATTTCTTGTTAGGAGCAATGCTTACTTACCTGAACACATATTCTCGCTAAATCGATCTGACGAAAGACTATCTGATTGGTTAGCCTTTCGGTCACTTCCCACCTCGCTAGCCTGTTGATGCAGTTGCATTCGCGTAGCCGGGGGCATCCTCATTAACCTCCTGTGTTGGGATTTTTTGGGTTTCGGCATTCTGTAGCGTCTAGGCGGACGTGGAGGTGGGTGAGCACCCGAGTCGTCTGCTGACTGGCTAAGGATGTCATCATTGACAACATCTGCGTCGCTCTGTGAGCAGGAGGGTAGGCCCTCATCGGAGAGCGGCATGCTGAGGTCATCGTGGGGCTTTTTTATCCTCAAGGTCACGATATCCTCAGACGTCTGAAGCAGCCTGGCAGCATCCGTGATGCTGCAGGCCTCCAACGAGAAGCCGTTCACAGCTAGAAGGATGTCTCCCGGACTAATTGAACCGCATCTACTTGCCACGCTTCCTGGAATCACTTTGCTTATCAACAGTGGTTCGCCAGGTCGACTTTTTCTGGAAGCTGCAATTCACACAATGAAATCGAGATTGCGTGTGTTTGTTGCAAGTCAAAATTTAACCGCCAAATTTAAATTTGTATTTTACGGACCAAATCACTCTTCTAATAAATAAAAGCAAAGTTTCGTCTGAAAAACGGGGAAGACCCAGTAATTTTTTCAGAAATATGACCGTGCTAGAGGTAGACATATTCAATGTGGCGAAGCGTAATTAATGTGGTAACGAAGAGTGAATCTATCAGAATTACGTGTGAAAGCATGCGTGATTGTGAAATTGTGCCGCGAACGGTTTAAACCTTTTCGAATTCCCTCGGAGAGAAATTTAGGTGTTTTTAAAGACCAATCCGAATTTGCGATGCTTCAAAAGTTGCACGGACAAAGCCCCTATTTGATAAATTTGAAATCATTTACGAAAATTTTGTTTTAATTGAATTAAAGTTTGGCGGCATGAAGTGGGAAAAAAGCGGTTCTGGATTGCCAGCAGTTTCAGAAGAGTTGGTAAGGTAATTTCTGGATGCGTTTAGTCACAGTGTGAAGGAAATTCGCACAAGACGTAAACCTGGACCCCGGAGCCAGCTGCTTGGCATGTCATCTGAAAAAGCCGACTTGCCCGGGATGAAGGCGTAAGATGACGACTTGGCAAAAAACGTCGTGTTTTTTGAGCGATGAGGCTACATTCCAAGCGAACGGGAAAGTGATTAACGGGCGAATAGAATCCTCATGCCGCAAAGGAACACTTCCAGCGTGTATGGAAGGTTGCACATTGAGGAAAACGCGGTCGATGATGGCAGTATGTAGGTGCCTTTGAACTGGCAATTTTCCAAAATCGAAACAAGCAAACATGATGGATCACCGCCACATTACGTACGCACATCTCGGGCAAAGGGATCAGACGTGCCGGGGATGGTGACAACGGCCTCTAGAAATGTCTGCCTCTGGTCACTTCGGTGGAATTCCCGAAATTTTGAAATCTGCTGTACAAGAAAGGAACTCGTGTACCGACTTCTAGGGGGCTGTCAGCGGTCGCGAATGAGTAAAGCGTGCTTACAGAGTTATTGATTCAGTGACTCATCCTTATTTTTCATTGGTTACTGTTATCAGTTGCCTGTTATGCACGCCTACACTCACCACACACACAGACACGCTTGTCTGGCTGGACACTAATAAATGTTCGCATTTCGAAATTGATAATTTGTTATAATTGCCAGTTTTTTTGGAAAAGTGGGATAATTTGGGCTCGTTTCGTTCAAAATGAGGAGGCCATTGATGAAATGATTTTTTAGTAAAATTTTGGGTACCCAAGAACACATGAAATGCATCTGATGTAGAATGACAACGAAAACAATTTCAATTGTTTTTTTTTTTGAATTCACTGTCGTCTTCTTCATGCGTTTAAAAAAACCACCACAAATTTGACCTTAATACGGCTGTTGTTTTAGATAAGTCGAATTTTTAAACGTACGTACATGGGAGAATACATTCGTCAATTGGTAGAGCCCTTGAGTCCAAGAGTTCATTTGTCTTGTAAAAATTATCGATTTTGGGGGTCAAGTGGGACCCTAATATGACCTTGAAGGTGACTTAAACTATGGCTTGAGTTTCATACAGATTTAAACAAAAAAAATACAATTCAACCAATCACATTAACGGTGAATTAACCATTCATTTTCCAAAATTCTAGACCGCATCGATGCAAAACTGGGGTTAGTAAAAGAATTTAACCCTAACCTCTTATCTCGAGTAACTGCAAACGTGGACATCCATTAAGTGCAATTAAATCGTGTGCTTCGACAAATGCGATTTCCGTATCAACGTCACAAAATCTGGGTTTGACAACGCCAACAAACGAATTCCACATCGAGTGTGCTAGACAAACGCCCCAAAGGGAACGAGACGGGATTTTGTTGTAAAAAAACGCCGATGTAAGTCGTCTAGACAAGGCATTTAAGGAGACTCTAGGGTTATGGTATTGGTCAAACTCCGCATTTAGTTAATTTACGGCGTTAAGCAGTGCAGTTTGCATCAGACAACGGCAGGAGTTAGCGAGAGATGCTTCAAATGAGAGAAAGACCAGTTTTTGTGCCCTAGTAATGTACTTTTATTTCGAAATTTTTCTAGATTTTTCCTAATATGGTATGCACCTTGACGCATTCTTTTCTATCGCTTCAAGGGTTGTGCATTTCCGAGATGTGCACACAGGAACGCTTTTAATTGATTTTTTGATGGATGAATTCATCTAAATGACCTTCATTGTCTTTTTTGATTGAACAACACTTAGAACATAATGTAATCCATTTTAAACTACACTGAATTGTTTATGTAACGGTTTGTGTGAATCTTTCTGAAATTAATTGATGAAGCTACTACTAATAATAAAATATCTGGAAATTTTCTAGTCTTACATGTGGAGCGTGGGATTCTTGTTTGGATATCAAACTTCCCGCGTTCATGTCATTCTCCACCCAAGAAACTTGGCAACATTGCATTCAGTTAATCTTAAACTGAACGTAAAAACTCTTGTTTTTCTTAAATGAACCACTGCAATTTACAGGACACATTGTTTAAAATTTACTGGGGTGTGTTTGTGCACACATGTTGAATCTGGGTGCAAATTTGCCCAGTTAGAGTAGCGAAAACTTCCGTTTGACAATCTTTTGCTTAAATCACACACGTGGCTAATTGTTTAAATACAAGAGCAGGTCTTGATTTAATTTGTCATTGCAAACACAATTCTTCGTTCCCACATTCAATTAGTCGCTTTTTTTAACGTCAATCAGAATCGAGGCCAAAAGAAGTGCTATTGAACAACTTCATCGATCGCCAACTAAGATTGTCATCTGGATAAAACTGTGGAACAAGCAGATGCAGCAGTTTTATGGTCACTAAAGCGGAAACGCACCTTGTAGATTGATTCCCAAACTTGCTGAGCATTTGATGATGCGCACGTCGAAGACACCGCAGCTTGGGATCACGTTTTCCGCGACGGTGTACTGCGTTACGATGGACAGACGTCGAGGACCTCCTAATTCTGCGGGACAGAGGTACTGCGAGGTGAGTCGATCAATAGTCTTTCCCAGAGGGGAGTCACCTTGGATGGCCAGAAGAGAATCGCCCGGCTGAATAATGCCAGACCTGTAATGTTGGAACACATTGGCAGGAACGACCGGATCAAGCATCCTGTCGTTTGACTTGAATTCGGTTCACAACATTGTGTTTAAGACAGGGCACCTACGCGAGCTGTATTCAAGATATCTTTCGATTTCTCATTCCTGGCTCGAGAAAACAATCGATTCTTGTGATCGATAATGTGATTTTTGTTTGCACGCCAAGCTGTGAATTTCATTCAGTGATTTGAATGTCACTCGTCTTGTCAAATTAACCGACCTTCCCGCCTATAGGTCGCCTTGGATGTAGTGTTTGATTGGTTAGTTAACAGTCACAATCTATTGTGGAAGTCCGTAACTTATTAACTATTGATTTTTGATCGTTTTTTCAAGGCTAATTACTCTGAAAGACAGATGAAACACGCAAAAGAACTGTCCTCAATAAAATCAATGATTTCTTGAAGTGGATATTTTGAGGGGCGCCACTTACTGATACGCAGGTCCACCGGGAATGACATTCTTGATAAGGGGGTAGTTGGTTAGGGGCTCGTCAGGTCGTGACTGGGGTCTGGAGGGCTGTAGGCTGAAGCCAAAGGGATTCGTTGGGGTTGCGCCTGTTCTTCTTCGTGGGTCCAGTCCTATTGGTTGTTGGGAGGCCTCTAGGATTACCTCAACCTCTTCCGTTCGGCAGAGACCAGCTCCATACATTACTGAATGAGGCAGAGTAGATGGACCTGCTAAATATTTCAATAGTTGGGCTTCAATCACATGTCTTGTGTTTGTCTAATTCAATTCTCAAGCAGTCGCAGAAACAGCTGTGCTCCTCTAACTGATTGAACAGTCAAACTTCAACAATGGGCTGATCAACTTACAAGCTTCTTTTTACCTTCAGTGAGGTGGTTTGTACCTGCGTGAAATGCAACAACAATATTTCAAAAAACGACAAGTCTAAGGAAGGTTTCTGGTGAAATAAGAAAGAAAAACTAAAAAAATCCGCTTCAACAGGATTGACAACACAATCCTGATTGTGAGATTAATTTTACGTGCAGAAAATTGGCCTCTGGGTTGAGAAAATGCGCCTTTTTTTATTCGTCACAGGCGATAATGCGTCTTTTTTTGCAAATCTGGCTTGCAAGTTTGGTAGAACAAGACAAAATTTATGTGGCTTCTTAAGTCTGCATAGCGAATGGCGGAAATCATAAATGCTGAAGTAGCGCATGCCTACAAGTGATTTATACCACCACATTCTCGGACGCCCGCAGACGTGTTAGTTCGCACGAGACAATGAATTTGTGTAGAGCATTTGCTAAAAAAAATAAATCCAATTCGAGGAGTCTGTCTGACGCAATTTTTTTGAAAAAAAAGTACATTAAAAATACTATGTAAATAAGAAAATTCGTCATTTCCACCATAAAGCAGTGATTCTTCGTTTTATTTCTTTGCGAATTGTTTTTTTTTAATTCTAAATATTGAAGTGGGCAGGTATTTGATGTAACAGAAGTAGATCCCTACAAAGATTGGTATGTCGATTTAGTCAAGCAGATGAATTCAGAATTTGCTTGATAAGGTAAGTTACTGCTGTCTTTTTTTTTCCAGGTCAGTCGACGAATTACGCCCTTAAAAATGTGTTAAGT